TGAGGAAGTGTGTTCCAGATTTTTTACTGCATTTTTGTGTTCATCTAGGCGGGTACTTATTCTTCTATTGGTCTGTCCAATGTATGTGGCAGGGCATGATGCACAGGGGACTTCATATATGCCTTGGTTTTCCAGGTCAATTTTGTCTTTGGGGTTTCTTAGGTTGGCTGCTATTTTTCTGTCTGTTTTGAAGGCAGTCTTGATGTGATGCCTGTGTAGTATCTTACTGATTTTGTCTGTAGTACCTCTTATGTAGGACAGGACAGCTGTTCCATAGGTCTGTTCATCTTCTAGGTCTCCATTATGTCTCAGTGTGTTTTTGTGGATCAAGCCGGTGATTTTGCTTTTGTGGAAGCCGTTGGCTGTCAGTACTTTAGTCAGGATGCATAGTTCAGTCTTTATGTGTGTCTTGTCTGCCAGGCGTTTGGTTCTGGCAATTAGGGTTTTGGCCACGGAGTTTATCTGTGCTGGGTGGTGGTGGGATTGGGTGTTGAGGTAGCGGTTGGTGTGTGCTTTCTTCTAGTATATGGTGTGTCCTAGTGTGCCATCTGTTTTTTTGTAGATTAGTACATCTAGGAATGGTAGTTGTTTGTTTGTTTCCGTTTCCATAGTGAATTTGATTTTGGGGTATGTGCTGTTTAGGTGTGTTAGGAAATCATTTAGGTTTCCTTTTCCATGGGGCCAAATAACAAATGTGTCATCGATGTACCTTAGCATAGTTTGGGTTTGTGGGTCGCATTGGCTAGGGCTCTGGATTCGAATTCTTCCATGAACAGGTTTGCAATGACGGGTGACAGTGGTGATCCCATAGGGGCTCCTTCAATTTGCTTGTATCTTTGTCCTTTGTATATGAAATATGTGTTGGTTAAGCAGTGTTCTGTTAGTTCCATGAGGTGTTTTGGGGGGTTGGTATTTATTTTTGATGATTTCGAGAGTTTCTTTTATTGGGACTTGAGTGAATAGTGAAACCATGTCAAAACTTACAAGCAGATCTTTTTGTTCCACCTGTTTGTTCCGTTTACTCGGAGCAAAGCCGCACTAAAAGCCTCCAATACAGGAAACACAATGTTGCCAGCCAATCAAGACAAAAAAGCCACAAAACAGACAGAAGATATTAGAAACACCAATCAAGCAGAACACAGCAAACTCCAAGACCAATAAACACAGACCAAGACTCCCAACCAATCAGGATGAAGAAAAAAACCATTCTGGCACAGCATAGGCTAGCACCAAATTTAAAACTGAAACAACTGTAAAAGTCTGACTCACAGACGAACTCAATACAGAAGTCTGATGATGGCAGATGAGATTCTGCCGAAACGTCGCTACAACTTTAGAAGCAAAACTAAAATGACATGGGAAAATACTCGAACAAAGCTGAATACCATACATATGTATGTATGTATGTATGTATGTTTTCTTATGTTTTCGTGGGTATTTATATGTATGGTATTTAGGTTTCTACGGGTATTTTCCCACGTCTTAATATTTGTGCTTTCATTATAGCGATGTTTTGGCAGAATCTCATCTGCCATCCTCAAGCTTGTGTATTGGGTTCTTTTTAATCTTGTGAGTCAGGCTTGGCAGCTGTTTTTTGTTTGAATTTGGTGCTGGCTTTCTGCTTTATTTGAATGGTTTTTTCCTCATCTTGATTGGCTGGGAGTCTAGGTCTGTTTTTATTGGTTTTCGAGTTGCTGTGTTCTTGATTGGTTGGCAACATTGTGTTTTGTGCATTGGGGTTTCTTAGTGCAGCTTGGTTTCTTGTGAATGGCCGATAATTATTTATTAGGAAGCTAGGTTTTATTTGGGAAGCTGGCTGGGGCGTGTTTGGGCTGGAGGTATTAGTGGGGGGTTGTTTGTGTCCAGGTGCTTGCCTAGATTGTGGTATAGAGATTTTTTTGTTTGATTGTGGTATAGAGATTTTTTATCCTATACCACAATCCAGGCAAGCACCTGGACACAAACAAATCCCCCCCTAAACAGCTGCTAAGCCTGACACACAAGATTAAAAAGAATCCAATACACAAGCCTGAGGATAGCAGATGAAGTTCTGCCAAAACGTCGCTATAATAAAAGCACAAATATTAAGACATGGGAAAATACCTGAAGAAACCTAAATACCATCCATCCATCCATCCATCCATACATACATACATACACACACACATACATACATATATATTTAGAATCAGGTACTAATAACCTATATATATATATATATATATATATATATATATATATATATATATATACACACATACACACATATATACACACACATGTATATATACACACATACATAAATACACACACAATTGTGAAATTAGATGCAATTAAAAACAATATAAAATTTTGCTCTTAATATAATTATTGGTCATTGGATTTCATGTAGTTTGGTAAATCATGTTTATATTGTTAAAATTATTGGCATCTTGATTCTCATTTCTAAAGGACAAATAGTGCAGACCAGCTGTTGTTTTACATGAACTCCAGTCCACTTCTAGATTGAAAAAGAAAACTACTTATCATATAGCGGTGTTAGCTGACAGTTACTTGTATACTTACATATTCATTGCTTTTTTTGTACATATTGTCTTCCAAGTGACATTGTCCATCAAAAGGTGTTAAAATGGCTCCAAGCTTACCATCCCCAGCAAAATGAAAACCATCATCTGTTGTGTAGACCAATAAGCGAGTCACGTTCTTCCAGCCAATTTTTTTCTGAATTTTAAAGCAAAACCAATTTTAAACCAGTAGAAATTATAACAAATTACAAAATCATTGATGCAGGAAGAAACAAGATGAATCAGTCAATTTTTTGATCTAAGACAGGCAAGCCTTTCTAATGTCATAGTTTTAACAGGTACTTATCCTGCAGCTAAGGAAACATATGCAGCATTTCTCTTCCTGATATCTTCCACCAAAAGTGTCCTTCATGAAAACATATTTTTCCTGACTTACCCCAAGACTGGATTCAGTGGCAGAGATATGAAGAAAATAAATATGAGGCATTCTACTTTATCTTCTTCCCAAAACTCCTCAGTTGACTCAGCTGGTGTGTTTGTTGAAACCAAGAACAGAGCAACCCCACCTCAGGAACCATAAAAATAATTTACTTTCTAATAATTTTTATGTGTTAATGCCATAATCTTAAGAAGCCTTAAAGAAGCAGTAAGATATGATATTTGAAGTCAAATTCTTTTAGTTCATTCCAGGGGAAAAATCAGCCCCAGCAGAAGACAAATATTAGTTTTAATAACTGAGCAAATCCTGGTCTGTTAATTATGTTTACTTTGTCACTCTTTTACTGCAAGCTGTTTCAATTGCCCATATTGATAAGCACAATAAAAATATAAATAACCATAGTGTCATGTCAATAGTGGCATTTATATGGGCTTACATTCATGGCCCTGAACAGAAAAAATATTTGTATAGAATTTGTGGACAAGTAGCATATACTGGAAATAATAAATTAGTGAAACCATCTTCTATTTTTGACCCAAAAAGCTCCTTAATCAATTCTATTTCCACACAATAGTGGCCATGAGACTTACCTCACAGACAGCAGCCTGCATCATGGCATCAAGTCCTCCTTCTGGTGCATCAAGATTCCCCGATATGTGCTGCTTCCCTACTTCTTCTTGAAAACTCTGTATATCATCAGTAAGGCTAAGCACATGCCTGAAAGCAAATGGTGGCTGGCACTTGGTCTCCTTGGTTGGGCATGGATTCTGGAGCTTCTCTGGATGGGTGTTTACAAATGGCAAGACAGTCTTATCCACAAAGGCACCAAAACCTAAAGGAAATATTATGGAAAAGTAGTCAACCTTGTTCAATATAAATATGTGTATGAGAGAACCATAAATCACTTCAGGAAAATATCATTAAAAATAAAATTATAGGAAAAAACAGGACTATGCATATGATTATTAAAATTATAAAGGATTATCCTTTAATAATCAGATACATTTGGATAAATAAGTATTTATCTTATCCTTTGTTAAGGAATAGCTATTTTCCTTATACACAGCTGTTGTGGAAAACAGAAATTATATAATGCTTTCCCCTTCATTTAGAAATACTATTTCCTCTCATTTTCTACTAACTTCTGTCCTTCAAGGACTTGTTTGGGAAATATCAACTGTCTTAAAAAGAGCTTGGTTGGACTGCACTGAAGTCCTACCTAGCCAAGCATTTTGTTTCTTGCAACAGTCAGTCAAATCTTGTCAGATATCTATGAGAAGGGCATGAGGATAACAGATATTCAAATCCATGCTAATTCTCCTGCAGAATGCAGCCATTTTCAGCTTCATCCTCCTTGAATTATCTAATATTTCTTTAAAGCCATTTAAGTTGAAGGCTCTCAGCATAGCATGAAAAAGTGAATTCCACTATTTCATTCAGTAGTATGAGGAACACTTTCTTAAATTCCCCCAACCTGTAGCTTAATTTGTAGGACCTTGGATTGCAGCACAATGTGAAGAGGAGATTTTTAAGGTTACCTCAAAAGGTTTTAGTGGTGATCTCTCAATATTATCACGTCCCTATATTTTTCCAGCCCCAAAGTTCCAAAATATCACTTTTCAAAACTTCCATTTTCAAATTGCAATCCTGGAGCTCTTTGGTGCTTGGAGCAGGCTGGCTTCTCTTTGATGTTTCTACTTCTCCATTGCTGACAAATTACAAATCTTGCTACTGTCACACTGGCTTTTCACCCACCAGGGATATATACCTTATTATTTGCTTTGGAGATAATCCTACTGAGGTAAGGATGGGGCAAGTACGTGCAGTGCCATCAAGTAGTTGATTTGGCACTCTTGCCACCAGAATAAGTATTGGTTGCCCCGGTGATTATTCAAAATGGTTGAAATGGGAACAAGTGCAGACCTTTGTGAGACCAAATCTGGGGGCTTCAAGAATGGAAACTATAGTAGCATAGAAGGCCCCTAATCCAGAAAACTCCAAATAATGTACACCTTCTTTACAGAATTATTGCACCAGAATCCTACTCTTCTTTATTCCCATGGTATGACATTTCATTATATTAAATCAAAAGAAAGGAAAACTTACTATAAAGTATAGTTGCATCTAATGTTAAAATTCTGAAAATGGCTATTTCTTGCAAAATGAAGAGATGTCAATTAAAATATGATAAATATTTCTCATAATATAGAATATCTCAGTGGAATTTTAGTAGCTGGAAACACTTGAAAAAATTAGAATCATGTCAAGCTTAGTTTTTGGCCAATCATGGACACTGCCATGCCATTTTCTTATCAATAATATTAAGCCACTTGCAATATATTTCTGTAATTTCAACAGCCTTAGGGTTTCAGAGTGGTCTCTTATTGAGCCCTAGTTGGGTATATCCCTTATTAGCTGTTTTTCAAGATCGGTTAAAGTTGGTTAGGTGCTTCCAACTGCTGTGACAGAAGACAGTTGCATATTTTAGAAGAATGTACATACCTATCCGTGCACGTTTGGTAATACTCTGGAGAGCTTTAAGGAGATCTCCTCCTAATTTCTTCACTATTTGCAGATCATCATCCATAGAGAATGAGAGATCCATCAAATAATAGAGATCTATTGGATAATCTTCCCCACGCTGGAATGTCACATTAAAAACGGCAGGTTGTTCTATTGGTAAAAGGAAAGACATTGAACATCTGCTCCAATTTTACCTCATCTCACAAAAATAGTGATGCTTTTCTGAACTAGGGTACTGTACTCTGAGTAACAGATAACAGATAATCAGAGTTGGAAGGGATCTTGTAGGTCATCTAGTCCAACCCCCTGCACAAGCGAGAGACCCTACACCATTTCTGACAAATGGCAGTCCAATCTCTTCTTGAAAGTCTCAAGTGATGGCGCTCCCACAACTTCCGAGGGCAAGCTGTTCCATTGGTTGATTGTTCTCACTGTCAGAAAGTTTCTCCTTGTTTCCAGGTTAAATCTCTCCTTGTTCAGTTTCCATCCATTATTCCTTGTCTGGCCTACAGGAACTTTAGAAAATAGCTTGACCCCTTCCTCCCTGTGGCAGCCCCTCAAATATTGGAAGACCGCTATCATGTCTCCCCTGGTCCTTCTCTTTACTAGACTAGCCAAGCCCAGTTCCTGCAACCGTTCATTGTATGTTTTAGCCTCCAGTCCCCTAATCATCCTGGTTGCTCTTCTCTGTACTTTTTCTAGAGTCTTTTTTGTAATGTGGTGAACAAAACTGGATGCAGTACTCTAGGTGTGGTCTTACTAAGGCTTTATAGAGTGGTGTTAGTACTTCCCTTGATCTTGATTGTATCCTTCTGTTAATACAATTTAGGACTGCATTAGCTTTTTTGGCGGCCGCTGCACACTGCTGGCTCATATTTAGCTGGTTGTCCACTAAGACCCCAAGATCCCTCTCACAGTTACTGCTATTGTGCCTGGTTTCACCCAGTCTATATGTGTACTTTTGGTTTTTCTTGCCTAAGTGTAGGACTTTACTTTTTTCTACATTGAATTTCCTTTTGTTAGATATGGCCCAGTGTTCTAGTCTGTCAAAATCCATCTGGATCTTGAGCCTATCTTCTTGGATGTTAGCTATTCCTGCCAGCTTAGTATCATCTGCAAATTTGGTAAGTTCCCCTTCTATTCCCTCATCTAAGCCATTAATGAAGATATTGAAGAGTACTGGGCCTAAGATGGAACCTTGTGGCACCCCACTGCTTACTTCCCTCCATGTAGACTTAGATCCATCAAGGACTACTTGTTGAGTACAGTTTGCCAGCCAGTTGTGAGTCCATCTAGTGGTGGTGCTATCTATTCCACTTTTTTCTAGCTTACTAAGAAGTAGGTTGTGGTCTACTTTGTTGAATGCCTTGCTGAAATCTAGATATATTATGTCCACAGTATTTTGCTGGTCTACTAATTTAGTCACTGTGTTGAAGAATAGATTGTAGAGAGTAGACTGTAGAGAGGAGATAGAGAGTAGATTGTGAGACTGTGAGAAACCCATGAAAGTACATGAAAGGACAGAATAAATCAACATGGCGGTCAAATTGTGGCAGAATGATAAAGAAGGCACCACTGAAATTAACTAGGTCCCAGGGGAAGGTACACAGTATGAGGATGGGAGCAGAGGAGCAAAGTGAAAAACACACAGAATGAAAGGAGAATATGGAATATTTGGTAGAGAAACAGAAAGCATATCAGCAATCATTGTGCATACACACACACACACACCTCACATTCTCTTTAATTTTCATAACTTTATATATGATTTATGTCAGATCTGACATAAATATTCTGAGAGATTCATATGGTGTTTTATTATAGTGAAAAGTAGGAAGTTTTAGAGGAAAAAAATTGAAATTAATAGAATTGAAGTTAGCCTGAATTATTGTGCCAAAGTCATGGTGAATTCATTGCTTTGGAAAATACATGTTAGAGCTTTTGAGTAAGAAAAATCAAAATATCAATATATTTGAAGCAGGATCTATACTAATTTTCTATTTTAAAAAATGCCCTGATAAGAAGTGGAAAAAGTCACATGTGCCATACGCTTCCTATCCTAAAATTGCAGCCATCCTTTTAGCCATTTCCTAGGTTTCTGATTTGAGGTTCACATTCTGAGATACCTGGTCTTAGATGCAATCGCACCTCCTCTGGGTAGATTTGTTTCTTCGTGTTTGATTGATCAGAAGAAACCGGGTGAACAAAGCTTTCTGGGAAAATTATATTGCCATCACATCCCTTCTCAAGGAGCTGCTGCTTCGTGTTACATCGAGCTGAATCTGGTTCTCCTATTTTTGTGAAATTCTGTGTTTCATAACAATCAAAGCACAAAAACAATTAATAAGCTTGAGATATTGGGTGGGCCTAATATAATTTAGATAGAGAAAAATAATATTTCATTGCTAAAGGACATATTTCATGCAATCATCATCATTATGATCATCATCATCATCCCAGCAATTCTGGGCAGTTCACCAATTATTTAAAACATTTAAAAACAAGTAACAGTACAAAAAACATAAAACTACAAAACATGATGGCAGAGAAACAAAGTAAATGGGGATCAATTGTTCTCACCAAATCTGAGCAAAGAGCCATGCCTTCGAAATTCCAGCAGAGTTGGGGCTATTTATTTCTTAAAATAATCATTAGTCCACTTGGTATGTCACAGCAATATGAAGATAGTACCTCCTTCGAGTTGAACTCAGTTCTTAGAACTTAATTATATGGTCATATAGTTTCCTTGACAACAATACAGAAGTGGTATGAGATTGCATTTTTCGAGGGTGCTTTTTCATCTAGCCTAACTTACTGAGTTTGTTGGCCCACTGCATCTGTCTCCTGGTCAGTGAGGTGTGGTCAATAGGATGTTCGCTTGCAAACCTATACCTCACATATCCTAAATTGCATAGAATAATATAAGCATGCCAAACTGGGCATTAGATGCCCTTTTGACAGATTGGCCAAAATTTGTCAAAACTGGCTGACAGTGTCCTTATCATTAGCAAGAAACTCTGCAATGGCTCCAATATGACTGAGCTATTTTTATTTTTCTCCTGTAAAAAAGGATTTAAAATCCTTGATTGACCAAAGCTTTGATGGGCATGATCAGCAGTAGTTGAAAATGTAAATTTACACGATTGCTGCTAAAATATCAAGTGTGCACAAAGCAATTATTATTTTTTGGGCTATTAAGGATGAACTTTTACAAGACCTTTGAATATAATTATTCTTTCTGAAATCAACAAAGTCTATTTTTAATATCTTCCTTGTAATTCCATTCCTTTTTAGTGGGGAAACTAAAAATGGATGAGAATTAGAAGAATCTTACAGATTTTTCCGTACCACTTGCTCTGTTTCCCTAGCATTTACAAAACCAAATCAGAATACATAAAGCACTGTAAACACAAACATATTTATTTTGTTGTGCATTTAGAGTATGAAAACTACCCAATCAAAACTTAATTATGCTCTAGCAGAAGGGAAATCGGTCCCTTATTTTAACAACATTTATTTCTGTATGTTTGTGGTGGTTTGCACATGCATTATTTCTATGGGATTAACATTAGGTGTGAATGTAAGGAAAGATTGAAAACAAAAGTAAAAAAATAGAAATGTACTCAAATTAGAAACAGTAGAAGTATCCATAGTCACTTCTGCCCTCTAGCAACTAGCTATGGTAAGCATTTGTTTTCTGACCCCAAACCACAACTGCCTGCAGATCCTTCAGTGGATATCTAAGGAAAGTTTGAGTATTGTGGACATAAGAAATGCTTACGCTAACTGTGACCATTTCCACTGAAATTCTACCAATCTATTGGTTCCATTAGTATTATTTATTTATTTAGTGTGTGGCATATCATACATGGATTAGTAATATAAATTAACATTTCAACTAGATTAGTAGAACCCAATAAAATATAAATGACAAAGATATCTATGTTCAAATATCAATGTCTAGGCCAGGGGTGTCCAACCTTGGTAACTTTAAGACTTGTGGACTTCAACTGGCTGAGGAATTCTGGGAGTTGAAGTCCACAAGTCTTAAAGTTGCCAAGGTTGGACACCCCTGGTCTAGGCCATTTAATCAGCCTTGTTTATACTTCAAAAATCAGATGCTGGACCAGTGTATGCCCTCAGCTTTTAGCCAGCCATGATGTGATCTACAATTTGATGTGGGACCTCATAGTCACACTGAGGGGAGGATATGATGCCCCATTTATATATAGAGTCCTAGCAGACACCGTATGATATATGAATCCTATTCAGGATTGTCCGTTGCTGATTGTCCGTTCAAAGCCTGGCATCTTTTTTTCTGGGGTCGTTTATATGTCTTCCTATAACAACCCATTTGGTTTTCCATTGAGAATTGATGTTGGGCAGATGTTGGGCAAGTGCCAGTGGGGGCTTCCTGTTTTGAGTTTGATTACGAGCAGCTATAAGAAAGAACATTACAATATGCTTTGTTTCCTATAACCCAGTAAAGCAGCATTGTGAAAGATGAGTCAGAGAAGGTCAGATTCATCAGGTGTTCAAATAAGGATAAAATACTTATTTTTTAGTATTTTCAGACTGCAAGGTAGTATTTTTTTGGGGGGGAGCACTGACAGCAACAAGCCTTTTCATAAAACAGAACTTGATGTGAGCAAAAGTTTCTACCCAAAGCAAAAAAACAAAAAGCAACCACAAACACTCAATGACAGTTGAAAGGGACAAATTAAAAAGAGACAATTGACAAAAAACAGTTTTAAAATGTAAGATGTTGGTTTTTGTTTCTCTTTCTTTAAAAAAAATACCTACCCGTTTCTTGCACCAGGCACAACCGGGGCCAGACTCAATGCAGTCCTGACAGGTTTTCACATTGTATTTGGTACATTCAAGAGAAAATGCTTAAGAAGAGGAAGAAAATGTTATAAAAGAGACATAATAAAGAACAACAAAGTAGAAGTATTCTGAATCTCCCCAGATATGAAAATAGCATACCTTGGCAGTAACTTACAATCTGGAAATGTATTTTGCCAGTTGCCCCAAGCTCCAGCTGTTCTAAGCCCTCTATTTAGAATCACAACTGAACCAAAAATTAAGTGAGTTTTAACCCTATTTTACAACCTTTTTTGTCATGGTTGTTAAGCGGATCATTACAGATGTTAAATGAAACAAGTAGTCATGTTTCCCCCCCATTTCCTTTGCTTGAGAAAAGCCAACTGGGAAGGTTACAAATGGTGACCACATGACCAGTGGTGGGATTCAAATTTTTTTACTACAGGTTCTGTGGGCATGGCTTGGTGGGTGTGGTGTGGCTTGGTGGACGTGGCAGGGGAAGGATACTGTAAAATCCCCATTCTCTCCCCACCCAACTAACCTTCTTTCCAGCTCCGTTCTCCTGCGCAGGGCAACAAAAGAAGACCAATCACCTGGGACTCGGGATGCAGAGAATAGATGTGGGGGGCAGTCAGAGATGGTATTCTGAACTACTCAAAATTTCCACTACCGGTTCTCCAGAACTGGTCAGAACCTGCTGAATACCACCTCTGCACGTGACCCTGGGATCATACAATTATCATAAATACATGCCATTTGCCGAGCGCACAAATTTTAATCACATGACCATGAGGCGTCTGCAATGGTCGTCAATGCGAAAATGAGTCATAAATCACTTTTTTCAGTGCCATGGTACATTTGAACAATCAGTAGAGAAAGGCTACAAGTCTAGGACTACCTGCATTGAAATGATGTTCTTTTCTTTTATAGGCCTGTGAACCTATACACGCAAGTTGCAACCTTTGCTTTGAGACTGGAACAAGACTACCTACCTCAGCCACCATCCTGCTTCCTAGCAACCTCCTGAAAAATCCAAAAAGCTGTTTATATACTACGCTTGGAGATACTGAGGTAAAGAAACCTGACCCTCCGCTCCACCATTTGCAACAGCTTGCAGATCATTTACTGGGCTATAGTGGAGCTGAACACTGTGTCAAATAAGGCAAAATAAGCTTTGCCAGTTCATAAGAAAAAAAATCTAAAACCAAGTCATGAAATAAAAGTACTTTTATTTTATCAGGAAAATCAAAGATCCATGCCACTGGATCATATTCATGTTCTCAGACAGCAGTGGTGGTCAGCAGGCTGCCCAGGGAAGCAATCAAAGCAATCCATCAAAGTTCTACTGCTCCCCCAACAACAGCCACCCCATGTCAAGGAGAATAATTAATGGACGTTTTCCCCCCAGCTTGTGACATTTGGTCAGTGAAGAAGCAACCTGTCCCTGCTCTTAAACATTTCTGTATGCCATAAAGAAGTCAACATAATTTGCTGGAATCATGGTTGTGACATGATAGGGTTTTCCAGTGAGAGGAGCAGATATCCATTCCTATGTACATTGAAAGGATTTCTCCATCTTTTTTATAGGTAGATTTCTAATGCTTATAATTTTCAGGGCAGGCAAAGAGGTAGAATCCACCCACACATTTTATTAACATTCTTCATTATTTTGCATGCAAAAGATTCACCAGGGTTAAAAGCTTGAGATGGGGTTAAGGAACTTTCAGTGTGTTTCTAATGTTAGAGAGGCCCGTTTCCTTTCCATTTTGAGTAAAGTAGTTGGGTAAGATATTGATAGCCATTTTCACTACATACGGTAGTACCAGTAGTAGCTATTACACCTGTGAAGTGAGTTGGGGACAAGATGCAGAATTGGAGTAACATTTTCAACTCAGCCAACCTCACAGCTAAAATCACTCTCTCAAAACTCAGTCTCACCCTGAAATGCTGCATATGCATTCAAAAGGGAAATTAAGCAAATGCTTTGCCCTTCTTCTCCCTGAATTATATCCTGATGCAAACATAATCAACAACAATGTTGCATAAAGTGCATCAAGGGAAGCATGTGTTAATTGCTCCATGACATAATCTGGAAGAGTTTGTTCACCAGATGGTAACCTAGCTGTTGGAGCTATCTTCATTTCATGAATACTCAAACCAGCCACTGAGAGGATATTAGCAAAGTTACTCCTGAGTTAAAACTGTTCGTTCAATAACCATTTGAAGCAGAGGTGGTATTCAGCAGGTTCTGACCAGTTCTGGAGAACCGGTAGCGGAAATTTTGAGTAGTTCGGAGAACCGGCAAATACCAGCTCTGACTGAAGATTTTACAGTATCCTTCCCCTGCCAGGCCACCAAGCCACACCCACAGAACCGGCATTAAAAATTTGAATCCCATCACTGATTTGAAGTTGCCATGGTGCTGAATTAGTCGTAGTTATGACTTGAGAATCCAGGGATCTCATATTCTGCAGTATACTTTTGCCACAACATCCTTCTAACCAGCCCACATGTACTTGCAGGATGCTATAGCATGTCCACAGCCTGCACACACCTGCCCAGCACTGCAGTGCCCCTCCCCAGCTTACATGCACTCACTACAGCAGCCCCTGCCTCACTCCATATTATATCCAACCTCAGACCTCCTTATGAACCACCTGGGACTTGCAATTTCCAGATGATTTCCCCTTGACTTTTGTTTGTGGGAAGCCTGCAAGAAGTGACAACTTGAACTCCTCACTTAATGATGCATATTTTTTGCTTAATAAACAGGGATTATCTGGATTGTTTTGCTAAGTGATGCAATCATACGATGTTATGGTTTATGATTGCATCACTTAGTAGTAATAGAAATTCCAGTCCCAGTTTCCATCATTAAGCAAGAACTACCTGTTCACACAGGAAAGCTTGAATATAGTAGTTTTTGAGATATGTGATCTACAAAATAGTTGATGCCCATTGCTCTCTGAGTTAATCAGTTAAGAGATACAGCACATTTGATTGCCTTTGAGAGAAGTCAGGAAAATACTTCAGATGGAACATATGGATTTTCTCTCGGTCTAGGATAATCCTGCTCTTCTGTTCTCTCCCACATCTGTTAGTACTAACTGAGATCCAAATGACTGAATAATAGCGTCTTGGATTGTGGCCTTTTCTTAGAATATGATGTGACATTTTGACCTTTATTTCAATGTTATTAAGCATATTTCTTATTCCAAGGACTGGGGCAATATGGCAGAATTGCATAGTAATTGCAAATGCAGCTTACCTGTTGTCAACAGGAGCAGCAGAGCTCCAAATAGCAAAAGGAAGCATTTAGGAAACATCTCCTGTGAAAAGTAAATAGTATGTAATAAAATATACAAAATGAGACAATTATCTTTAAAACGCAGGCCTAAAATTTAAATAATAAATGGAAGAAGATACTTTGTGGAGGAAGAACACCTGAAAAGAAAATGGAAGGACATGTAGTATTTGTTTACACTTGTGTTGACTATTTAAATTGGATTTAAGGTTATGGTCACATTAAAATTACTGTGGATTACACTAATAAAATAATCACCTTAATTTAAAGAATGTAAAATACAAAGCATTAAGGAATTGGAACTAGTAAGACCACACTTTGAATACTACACCCAGTTCTGGTGACTACAATACAAAATAGTATTTGCATCTAGAAAGAGTGCAAAGAAGAGCAACAAAGATGATTATGGGCCTGGAAGCTAAAACATATGATGAATGGTTACAAGAACTGGGTATATCGAGTCTAACAAAGAGGACTACTTTCTCATTAGGAGTACCTAATGATTCAGTCCTGAGCCAAATGCTCTTCAACATTTTTATAAATGATTTAGATCAGGGGTGTCAAACTCGATTTCATTGAGGGCCACATCAGGTTTGTGTTTGACCTTGGGGGGCTGGGGTGGGCATAGCCAGGACAACATCACTTGTGTTGTGAGGCACCTGTGTTGGCCCGAGTGCTCTGACAGTGAAAATGGGCTCCTGAGCTTCGATTTTGGCTGTGACGGCCTCCTGCAATCCTCTGCCAGTGAAAACGAAGCTCGGTGGGAACCACATGTGGTCCTCACGAGCTCTGTTTTTGGCTGGGATGGCCTCCTGCAACTCTCTGCCAGCAAAGCTCCGTTTTTGATGGCAGAGGCACCGCGGGTCAGTCCTTCGCTATTTCCAGGGCAGCCCCATGGGCCAGATCTAAACACCCTGCAGCCCAGATCCGGCCCCCAGGCCTTGAGTTTGACCCCTGAATCATGGGGATGTGGCAACAGTTATAAGTATGAAAAATTGTCATAAGTCGCTTTTTTCATTGTCATTGTAACTTTTAATGGCACTAAGCAAACTGTTGTAACTTGAGGACTACCTGTACCTGTGAGAAGGATCAGGACCTCCTGGTAGACCACAAATTAAGCATAAAGCAGCAGTGTGCTGCTGTGCCAAAAAAGGCAATTAAATTTATATTTATATTAGTAATTTGTAATTAGACAAATGGTTGCCATCTTGCTCAGACTGGATTAAAAGCCACAGAATATGTTCAGTACATGCTTTATTACAAAGGTGAGAAAACCCACAATATCTGGGCTGTACATAACCAATAATTCTGCTCTTTCACAAGATCACACACATAAAAGTCAGTGGCCAATTGTTCAATTTTCATCACACACAAAAATGTTTTGATAAAATATTTCACAAATAGGTGTATTAAACTTATTTTGAATAAAGACAGCCTCTCCCAAAGAGCTAAACATTTTATCTTCTTCTTCTGGTGTCATCACCACATGCCTTGCAATTCTGAAGGCCAAAAAACAGTTTAAAAGACTACGACCTCTAATCGCCACCTCTTGCCTGCCTTGCTTTAAGATGAGACTAATAAAGTTACAAAACTTCAAATCCTTTGAAAAACCTGTATAAAAGTTGGATGTGCAGTTTAAACATATGAGTCATTATGACATGTACTTCTCGTCTTCCATGCCAGACAGTAGTGAAATGTCACTTTTTGTATTTAATTTGTTTTAAAGTAATTATTCTCCAGCACCTGGAAAAAAACCAAGAGGGCCCTCATGGCCAGGAATTTCATCAAGATATGAAAGAACTGAACCAAATTCTCCTGTCTATCTTTCCTAAGAAGTTACTTTCCCCCAAAAAACGTTCCTATCCATATCCATGTTGTCATTCTAGACATTTAAATGGAAATAACATGTCCCTAGCTGATATGAAAAAAGCAGTGACATTGGTAAAACACTACAGTATGAGGAAACATTGAAAGCTGCACATTCATATTCTACTAGTATTACAACAGAGCATTTCAGATGATAGCCAAAAAAGGAAGAAACTTTCTCGCTTTTGTCTTACTTCCAGTTTGATTTCAAAAGTTGTGAAAGGGATTGGTTTTACTCATATAGACAGAGCCTTTCTGTTTTTTTTCCTGTTTTTTTAATGTATTAATTTTACAAGTACAATAAATTTTACAGAAAGGGGAAAATAAGAGGGAAAAGTGAAAACAGAAAAGAAAATTACAATGATTATAAAATTAGTTAAAATATTTCAAAATTAATGTAATATAAATTTGCATATTTGAGTACTTATTAGATATCAAGTGTGGAAGTATTACTTACTATATAATAGCTGATATTATATTACATCAGTTTAAAATTTTAAATCATTATAAAATAAATCAATATTAACACTGGGTTATTATGTAGCATAGTAACCATAACAACCATTACCCATAAAGTATAACTCAATTTGCAAGCATTTCTGACTAATCTAAGAAATATGGCAAATTTATCAGATCACAAAAATATTGGCTATTATAATCTTATGTTAAGAGAAAGATTTGGATTTGATATAACCCCATTTCTAAAACAACAATCCAAAAATAATTTCAATATTGAATTATATTCTATATTAGAATTATTTTTTAAATGAGGTTAGTTATGACATCAAGCCCATAATTGCATAAACCTTCTTCTACAAAGGAAATTGCTCATAATTTTCAATTAGAAATGCAGAAAATCCTAGCAGTTGTTATCATGTATAAAACCAGTTCAATATACTTTGAGTAGAGGTGGTATTCAGCAGGTTCTGACAAGTTCTGGAGAACAGGTAGCAGAAATTTTGAGTAGTTCTGAGATCCAGCAAATACCACCTCTGACTGGCCTCACCCCCCCAACCCCCATCTATTCTCTGCCTCCCAGTCCCACCTGACTGGCTGGGTCTTCTTTTGTTGTCCTATACAGGAGGACGGAGCTGGAAAGCAGGTTAGTGGGGTGGGGAGGGAATGGGATTTTACAGTATCCTGCCACACCCACCAAGCCATGCCACGCCCACCAAGCCATGCCCACAGAACCGGTAGTAAAAACATTTGAATCCCACCACTGACTTTGAGGGAATATAAGGCTTAGTAAATTTCTAAAATTATTAATCCTAATACAAGTTACTAAATATTAATTGATATTAAATAAAACCACTAAATAAACTATTTTAAAACCACATAAAAAGTAATTAAAACAGAAGCTTTAAGAGTTCACTAAAAATGAAGTCCGTCTGTGATCATGTTCTGCTCACCCAAATCAGCTCAGGCTTAATGTTATTTAGTAAAAAAATGGTGCACTAAAAATAAAAATTCACCTTTAAGATTTGTTTCATTTGATTATAGTTCATTTTATTTAACTAGATTATACAGCATTGCTATCAAATCTATCTGTCCGTGTGTCTGTCTATCTATCTATTTATCTATCTATCTATCTATCTATCTATCATCTATCTATCTATCTATCTATCTATCTATCTATCTATCTATCTATCTATCTAAAAAAGATCCAACCAGGTGCCCAACAATGTTTAAAGTATGAATTGTCTACTTTGGTATTCATTACTAGAATTAAACATTTTATATCATTATTCTCTAAGCATAATATTTATTATACATTTTTCTGTCACTTTGTATGTTGATTATTCTTTGGTTTGATACCAAAAGACAAGTACAATCTATGCAGGACCATTTAAAAATAAATGTGCTAAATATAAGCGATAAACAGAAAATGAATCTGCAAAGCACAAATGCCCTGCTCCCAACTCTGAATTCCTCCCCACCCATTGCTTAAAGTGTCTAAAACTAAACTTTGCAGATTAAACCTTCTCATTCTAAATGGTGCCCTTAAGAATGACTATCCAGCCAAATTTGCCTGCTTGCTTGGCTCCAGAATGAGTGCAACTGATTATATAATTGACTTTAGGGACCCTTTCCCTCATGTCAAGGCCCAAGAAGTTATGCCTAAATTCAATAGTGATCATCTCCCAGTCTTGATTAATTAATTAATTTTATTTATTTATTTTATTTTGTCAAGCGATTATAAGATATATAAGGCATAAGTATAAACATAGTTATGAATACATGAAAGGGATACATATAAGAAAAATAAAAAGAAACAATAGGACAGGGACGGTAGGCACGTTGGTGCACTTATGCACGCCTCCCAAATGCCTTCCCCTAAGAAACACACATTAAGGATTGCTACCTACCAATGCCAGCAGGAAAAACATACTGCTGAGCGAAAAGTTAAACCACAAACCAAGCTTTTTGCTTCAGATTAACTACAGAACCTCCTGTCTGCCCTGACATCTCTGAATCTTCTGATGTACTCTTAGACAATTATAACACCCTAACCCAACACCTCCAACAGCATTTAACTGGCTGCAACTGTGCAGCCCTACAGCAATAATAGCACCATCCCAAGCCATGGCTCAGCAATACAAAAAAAGCTTTTCCCATTTACCAGACTTATGTATCCAATGCTACACCGACAGCTGCACCGGAACTCCTCCAGCAAAAAGGATACTACAAACAACTGCTGTATGCAAGAAAAAGAAAGCCATAAAAAAGCAGGGGGACATGACTGATTCAGGCAGTCTGACCTAATTACTTAGTCTCATTCTGGCACATCACATTACATAACCCCTGGCCACCTGGTTGGATCTTTTTTAGATAGATGGATGGATGGATGGATGGATGGATAGATAGATAGATAGATAGATAGATAGATAGATAGATAGATAGAT